GTCTTCCTAACAAGCTGCCTGTCTGCACATCAGATGCTATGTTGGTAGGTAAGTGTTAATAAAAGGAGCACCTAGTACACATTTATGGAATCCAGTCTTATGCTGACTGAACTCATTCATTCATTCATTCATTCAAAAAGTATTTCAGTGCCTACTGTGCCAAGCTATTCTAGGTGTTGGAGATGCAGCAATGAAAGAAAGTAAGAAGACTAATGTCTTCCCTCCTTAGAGTAGATATAAACTAACTAGATATGTACTTTGCTGAGTGTTATGAAAAATTAACTTGGAGTATAGTGGATATAGAGTGCAATGGAGGGAAGACAGTTGCTGTTTCATAGGGAAGTTGGGGAAAATTTTTCTCTGATACAATGACATTATGAGCAAAAACCTGGAGGGAATGGAAGGGGTGACAGACGGCAAGTGCAAAGGCCCTGAGGCAGAAGTATGAATGGCAATTCTCCACAAATAGCAAGGTGCCAGTGTGGCTGGGGCCAAGTAGCAAAAAAAAAAAAAAAAAAATGAGGTGGAAGGTGATTGTGGCTGTGGGAGAGAGGCAACAGATTATGCAAGGCTTCTAGGCTGGAGTTAGAACTTTGGTCTTTACTCTGAGGAAACTGGGGAATTACTAGAAGGTTTTGAGGAGAGGAATCCCAGGATTTTACTTTCTCCCATTTTTTAATTTAAATTCTAGTTACTTAACATATATGCTTAATATTGGCTTCGAGTATAGAATTTGATTTTACTTTTGTTTTAGAGATAGCTCTAACTGCTATGTTAAGAGCAGACTACAAGAAGTAAAGGTTGCCTTGGGGGAAATAGGTTTGACACGGTGATGCAGGCAAAAGAACATGGTGACCAGACCCAGAATGGTATCGGCAGGGGAGATATGAAATGTTCATATTCTGGTTAGCTTTTGAAGGTCAAGCCAACAAATGGTTAAGTTATGAGAGGAAGCAAGATCCATCAGCGATGACAGCAAGGTGAGAGGATCAGTAGAAGAGACTGGCCATTGAATGATTCGTAGGGTTCTATTCATGTCTATCTTTGGGGGAAAATCTAGACGGTGTCTTCTGTATTTCCTTTTTCTTTTAGATGATAAGGTCACATTTACAACTTATCTGCTTCCAAATCCTGAGGATTATTTGAGATGTACCTTCCTCCACTGCTCCCCTGTCACCAACTCTGAAGCTTCTTTTTCAACAACATCTCGGATGTCTCCTCCGCCTTTACTTTTTCTCTCCCATTCTTTCAGTTTTGGCTCTCAGGACTCATTGCTAGCTAGAAGGCAGCGACTTCCCAGTTCATTTCCAGCCTTCAATACTCAACTCTTCCAGTCTCTCCCAGGATGAAGAAAGCATGGATGGAATCAAACCTACCATGTTAAAAAAAAAAATCTCTGACGACCTTTTTCTGCCTGCTGAATAAAGGCCATGTCTGTCCTCTGAGCACAAATCCACACAACATGCTCTTCCAGCCTTGCATTGTCTTACATGGACCAGCACATGCCCCTTGCTTCTGTTGTATATGCTCCTGGTCTCAGTTTTATTGGCTTGTGCCAGCCCATCTTCCACACCTGCCCCTGCCCCAAACTCACTTCTAACTGTGCACGTTGGAATGTTTCCAACCCTTTTAATATCCATTATTCCAATAGCTTCGAGCTTCAGCCAGTAAGAACTAATCTTTTCCTCTTCTACATATTCACACCCCTTTGGGCCTCTGCTTAGCGCTCTGTATTGGTGATTTATGTGTGTTTCTCTGCCTTCTTTTGGATAGTGGCCAACTATATGAGAATGCAGAGCTCATTTTGTGAATCCCATTGCTACAGTTCTCCACAAAGTACTGCTCAGAATAGATCCGCAATAAATATTCGTGGTAGGCTCAAATAGCAAATTGTGACAGCAATGAGAACAGCCTTAATATTAAGAAAAGATTAGCAGAATTTTCAGCTGGTCCCTACCCACACATAAGCAGTATACACAATTATTCTGTAAGTGCATTTTCTTTTATAGGATATTATTTATTATCAGAGTCTGTTTAGAACAAAACCATCAACACAATGTAAGTATTTTAAAGGTCATATTCAGAGAATCTCAATAAATATAAGCCTCTCTGGAGTAATATTTAGAAAACATTGTAGAATAAATGAGATGTTTTGTTCCTCTGAGGCCAAGTATGTTTTCATTTTTGTGCGCCAATAAAAAAATATTGATTTTTCTCTTTCTTTGCTGAAAAAAAGGTCTTTAAAACACACTGGGCGAACTGCGTATGTGTTGCAGAAAGCCAGATGTCTAAAGGACACTGAAATAGAGATCTTAAGGGAAAAGTGATGAATGTTGTGATTTGGCAACTTGAGGCTAGCTGGTTCCACTCTGTGCCACATCAGGAGTGCCTCTGGTGTCCGCCTCACTGCTGCATGTTAACATTATTGGTATAAATGCCTCTTCTACGAGTTCGCCGCCCCACAGCTGCACTTCACTCCTGTGTATTAACGTTATTAGTATAAATATATTTTTCTTCACTAGATTATAAACTCCTTGAAGGCTATATTATCTAAAGTTATTGCTGTTTATGAATGTGTTTCTCCACTAGACCTTAAGTTCCTGGAGGGCAGGAACCGTCCTTTATTTAGTTTCCACCAACTCTCACTCTAAAACTTTGCACCTAGCATTCACTCAACCAGTGTTAAATTCACCTCGTCCCTTGGCTACCATTCTGCTTGATTTCCTTTCTTTGCTAAAGGACACTACAACTTATCCCTGATTTAGAAGCTTGTATTACTTGTTATAAAGGTTCAGAGGCTGTAACAGAAAGCCAGAAGAGTTGAAACAGTCCAGGGGGAAGCTTCCGAAGATTTACTCCTCCCGTCTGGCCTACCCACACAGGTGGCTCTGGGCTACTGGCTACTGTGTGTGGTTGTGCAGGATGTACACTGTAGCGCTCTGGGGGCTTATTCACACTGTCAGCCTTGGGAATGGTGCCCGCTGGGCTACTGCAAGGTATGACTGCATGGCTGTAGTTGGCAGCCCTATGGCTGCTCCAATGGTGGTAGAGATCAATGTCCCTTTTTCCCATTGCTCCACTATTCCGAGGGTGTTCCAAGATCCATCATGTTCCAAGATCCACCACCTCATCCACATTCCAGTAAGCGCATGCTTACTGGAAGATACACTCCTCACTTTTTCTACTCAACATTCCATGCTAGAACTCAGTCATACAGCCACGCTTAGCTGTAAGGGAGCCTGGGATCCATCTTCATGCTCAGTGCCAAGTTGTAACTCAAGGGTTCAATTACTATAAAAGCAGGGAGCAGATGTGGGGGACAACTAGAAGGCTATGACACACCAGAAGACTACCTTTCATTTTGTCCTTTGCATTTCTATTTCTGCAAACTTTGTTACAGCTATCACTTCTTCTTTGTTCCCGACAACCAGGAATAATTTCTGTGTTGCCTAAATTTCTGTAATATTGTTTGTGACTAATGGCAGTTTTGTTTCTTCCTTCCTTGCTCTTAGACTTTCCTCACCTCCCCCCTTGTTCCGCTAGCCAGGATTTCCAGAACAAGGCTGAACTGAAAATGTAACAATTAACACACCTGTCTTGTTATAAGAAGGCAAAAAATTGGGATCCCTGGGTGGCGCAGCGGTTTGGCGCCTGCCTTTGGCCCGGGGCGCGATCCTGGAGACCCGGGATCGAATCCCACGTCGGGCTCCCGGTGCATGGAGCCTGCTTCTCCCTCTGCCTGTGTCTCTGCCTCTCTCTCTCTCTGTGTGACTATCATAAATAAATAAAAATTTAAAAAAAAAAATTAAAAAAAAAAAAAAAGAAGGCAAAAAATTCACTGGGTCATCCTTTAGTATGATGTCTGGGGTAGGCTCTTTGTAGATACTAGTCATTGGATTAAGGAAATCCTTTTTTCTCTCTGTTGGAAGAGAGGGCATCTGTAAACAAGAATTTTTGAGAGAGGATCTTTGGCACCAACAGCAAACCCTTCCTATCTCCCTGAGACTTTGTCAGACACTTAGGGATTCAGTATTCCCCTACGTTGGCCCCTCTATTCAGCAAACTCTTACTTTCACTCACTGTGGTGCAAAGATGTTCTATCTTCACATAGATAACAATGCTCGCGTTGTTTCATTCATTCATGCAGCCTGTTTTATACTACAAAAAAATTTTAGAAGATATCTAAGCACCACACACTAAACCAGCAAAGTAGAAATAGACCGCAATGAACTTCACGGAAAATACAGCAAGTGTAAAAAATCCTCATTAAGGCATAGTTAACATGTAAATTTATGCAACTCATATCCTACAGTATTTCTAAATTCGACCTGCTAATTTTTTGATATTCTTTATAATAAGTTTTGCATTGACTATACGAAACAATCATATCAATTCCTCCCAGGAACTAAAGATTTCCTAACACTAGGATTTGAAAAAAAAAATTTTTTTAATGCTCTTCGCATATGCAGAGGATATTAAACACAAACTCTGAAAGAAATGCAGAGGCAGACTGCCTGTGACTGTTGTAATTTCCCTCAAGGTGAGCAGAGGGCATAATTCCAAAGCAAAATTCACTAAACACAATCTTTCAAGCTGTCCAAACATTTTGAATGAAGTAACCCGTTACTGCTGCTCGTTCTAGATCCTCTAGGAGTGGGGCATTCGCATTTGTTTGGAGTTACGATCTTCGTCAAATAAGATGGTAATTTTCCCACCTAGGATTTTTTTTTTTTAAATATGAGTTGTTCAGTGGTGACTTTAGTTATAATTAATTCCAGGCAAAAGCTTATTCCCATGACTGGTTAAAGATGAACATAAATTATTTGTCACTCTTCCCATCGAGAGGTGACTTTATTTCCCCAACCTGTGAGTCTAGGCTGGCCCTGGACAACAGAATGTGTTGTAAGTGGTGCTGGGCTCGGTTCCTGGTCTCACCTTTATGGGGACCGCCTCCCTCCCCTTCCTTCCTCTGGGGACACTGCCTCCCAGAACCCACCTACCTGGAGAAGCCAAGCCATGTAGGAAGTATGTGCAAAGGAAAGCCAGTGGAGAGCCCCAGCTCAGCTCCCTGGAGGCAGAGACAAATAAATCCCTGCCACATGTGTGCATCCTTGTGGATATTCTCTAGCTCAGCTGGGTCCCTGGCTGATTGTAGCCTTAACTGACATCACATGGAGGAAAAAAAAACTCTCAGCTGAGCTCAGAGGATGTGAGAGTCACAGGACTGTTGTATAAGCCATTACACTTTGGTGTGGTTTCTTAACTCAGGAATATATATAATAAAAATACTTCTCACATTTCACTTCACTGCACACAGCCCAGCGTCTGCTGCTGCCAATCCAAAGAATCTGTTCTGTAAAGTTCCTAATTTAACAAATCACTGGGAAACGTTACAGGCAGCCTCCCATTCTCGCCTCTCTGAAATTGCTGCTGCTTTTGAGTAAAGACGTATCCTTAAAAGACTATGCGGATAATACTTTCACCTGGTTTCAAGATGAGAAAGTTTAAACTGTCACCAGGGGGAAGTCTCCCTTCTATTCTTTCCCACCCCTGGCCACTGACACTGCCACCTCTGCCCTCAAGGGGTAAGAATGATCCTTATTTTCTTAGTGTTTCTGTATATACACACATATATGCTTCTCCTTTTCCCAATTTTTATTTATTTATAAGTAGTATAATTTATAAGTAGTATAATTTATAAGTAGTATAAGTATTTATTTATTTATTTATTTATTTATTTATTTATTTATTTATTTATTTATTTATTTATTTATAAGGTGCCACCACCAGCATGGAGCCCAAGGTGGGGCTTGAACTCATGACCTTGAGATCAAGACTGAGTCCAAATCACGAGTCAGATGCTCAACCCACTGAATCACCCAGGTACCCCCCCCTCTTTCGACTTTCTTAAAATTTTTTTGACTTAAATTCAATTAATTAACATATAGTGTATTATTAGTTTCAGAGGTAGACTTCAGTGATTTATCAGTTGCAAATAATACCTACCCAGTGTTCATTCCATCACATGCTTTTAATACCCATCATCCACTTTTTAAATATGCACTTATACATGCCATTCCATGTCCTTGTTTTTTTCCCCCATTAACAATTTATCTTGGAGATTTTTATGTGTAGAGAATTCTATTCTGTAATTTTTTAGAGATTTTATTTATTTATCCATGAGAGACACACAGAGAGAGGCAGAGACATAGGTGGAGGGAAAAGCAGGCTTCCTGCAGGGAGCCAGATGCAGGACCCGATCCCCAAACCCCGGGATCACCCCCTGAGCCGAAAGCAGGGATCAACCACTGAGCCACTCAGGTGCTCTGAGAATTCAATTTTAAAATCATATTCCTTAAAAAAAATTCTACCACATTGCTGGCTCTATATTAAAATGTTGTTCGTTCCACTAAAGGATTTCTACACAACCCACAGAAAGGTATGAAATTTTACATTAGCGGTTCTCCTTCCCTCTAGATTCATAAATGACCAAACATGCCACTTCTAATCGAGGCCTGCCCCTCAGAGAAGAAAAATATAATTAACAAGTAGGTCATAAATGGATTTTTCCTATTTCACTTTGTAGTTTAAGTGCCTGGCAATTATTTTTTTTATTGTGATGTAAGGCCTAGATGTTAAGCTTTTGAAGGCAGAGGGCTCCATTTCAAAGACCTCCATCTCGAATAAGCACATGGCCAGCCACACCATTAGACAAGGGACCAGGCTGCCCCAGCCCTGGAGTTCCCCTTTTAGAAAGCCCTGGGTGCCCTAGGTAACTGACCACTTGAGTAACCGTGCTTCTCCCTTCCTTCCCTTTAAATCCCACACATTTTCAATTCACCAATAGAGTGAGTCCTCAAAACCTTAGGCCCCCTACCCTTGGACCCAATGAAGTCAGAACCCCATGCTCGCTCTCTCTCCATGACCTTGCTGTATGGCCCTTGGACTTGGATGTGCTGTGCACCCTCCAAGACCTATGAGTAATGAACCTTTTTTTTTTCAAAGTTCCCTGATGGCTGTTGGTGGGATCCATCCTGCAATCCTAATAGCCACAAGGTCTGGGCCAGTCACAAGAGCTCTGCTTGGGGAAATGTGTGTGGGGGCTCGCATTAGCAGCCTGGCCCAGGTGAGTGCTCCAGGTATTTGCAGCCAAAGGCATTGCTATCGATAGGCTGAGACACAGAATACACCCCCCACCAAACAAATATTTCAATGTCAGAATGAAAGTAGATTCATGCTTGTATTTGAAGAGACATGGAGACAAAAACAGAATAAAGAAGGGGAACTTAAATGTGCAAATCCCATGTGTGTGTGTGTGTGACAAGTCTAAGACTCTTCCCTCGTCCCCTAAGAGTACTGTATATTCAAGTAACCTTGAAATGAGAAGTTCCCCTGACATACGCCACAGGCAGCATTCCACTCTGGTGAGAGGAAGACAGGTCTTATTTAGTGAATGCTGTTAGAATAATGTGAGGTTCAGGCGGGGAAGAATAAAATTAGATTCCTACCCTACACCACAACACTCAACATTTCAGATGAAAATAAAGTTACGCAAGCCATTAAAGAATAAGATTTAAGATTTTAAGGCGTCTAGGTCTTTTTGAACAAACATAAAATCAGACAAAAGGCTGGCAGGTTTTGTGCATAAGAAGTTAAATCTTCTGTAAAATGAAAGCTATCATAAACAAAGCTAAACACAGGCACTCAAAGGAAAGAAATGTGTATGTTAAAGGATGCATATCAATGGTGTACATGAGCCCTCACATGTCAAGTAAAAATGACTAACAATTCAACATAACGGGGGCAAACAACTTGAAAGTACAATTCACAGTAAAAATACAAATAGCCACTAAGCATATGAAAATACGTGCAATTTTAAAACTCAGGTGGATATACTATTTCGTGGAAAAATATGAGGGTAGAGGTGCCCTCATACCTTGCTGTTGGGACTGAACTGATACCACCTTTTTGGAACACAATTTAGCAGTATCTTCCAGAATTTAAAATGGGCGTTCCCCTTAACCTAACAATTTTACACCTAGAAATCTCTGGCATGTATGTATGTGCATAAAGATACAATGTTTTTGGGCTTGTTGCTTAACCTAAGACCAATCCTTTATTGGTAAAATGTTTATTCTAATAGTGTGTGCCCCATTTGGTTATTTTTAAATGAGGTATATTAATTAGCCCATGGTCTGGCACAAAATAAATTCCAACAAATGTTATATACTATTATTGCCATCATTACCATTTAATTATGATAGTTGTTTGTGTACTTATAAATTATAAATGAAATGTACATCAATGGAGAAATACAGATTATGAAATAGCATGCATATGTACATACAATACTCTAAAATGTACGAGCAAAATTATATAAAATCTGTACATATTTCCATTTATTTAACAGTCTGTGTGTGTGTGTGTGTGTGTGTGTAAAGGGGAAGAGTGAATGTGTTTCATAAAGGTCTATAAAGATACCAAACTGTTAGTAATGCCTGAAGTATTGGAACAAAGGGAAAAAGACAAACCTACATTTTACCCTGCATCATTCTGTATTGATTGAATTTTGACATTTCTAAACAGCAATCTAAGCTGGCATGGCCTCTCCAAAACCAATGAACTTGACTCATCTAAAACCATAACAACTGGACCATATGACTTCAATATGGTCATCTAGTTTTTCAGAATAGAAATGACAAGATAATTCATAATCTAGATTTTGCACACCATCTGGGATGGCAAAGATTTACATCTAATCTTTCTAAATGGGTTCCTAAGATGAGCTTAAGTCTTTTGGAAAATCATCCTATTGCTAACAATGGCAGGTTAATGAGGTATTTCTGGATAAAATTATTCTATCATATTCTGATTAAGGAATTCTTTTGAGAAACCTATGAATCTTTTATATTCTTAAGTTAATACCATACATACAAATTATGAATGATATGCTGACATAATGGAATTCTCTAAAAGGATCTCCTGTTTTAAGGAAGGTGGTCACATGCCCTCAGCCCTGGGACTCCTGTCAGGGAATGAAAATCTCCCTCCTCCTTCCCTGGAAGTGATGCCAGGGGCCCAGGCTGGCTGGAAAATAGCTCACCACAGCTTCTGCCTAATTTTAAATACTCACTATTGAAAGACATGCCCATCAGGAAACCTCAGGTACCCTAAAAGGGATCAATTTATTGGTAGCTTTCTTCCACCATTCTATTAAATGAAACTATGCCCTTCTTTTTCTAACCCAAGATGAGAAAATTTGATAAATATAAATCATCTTTCAGGAGACTGAGTGGCTCAGTGGTTGGGGGCCTGCCTTTGGCCCAGGTCATGATCCTGGGGTCCTAGGATTGAGTCACACATCGGGCTCCCTGCACAGAGCCTGCTTCTCTTCTGCCTATGTCTCTGCCTCTCTCTCTGTGTCTCTCATGAATAAATAATAAATAAAACCTTTTTAAAAATATAAGTCATCTTTCAAATCGGTAAAAAAGGGAAAATATATAGAAAAAAGAAAATTTTACCAAAACAATTCTCTGTAAGTGATATGAAATTCTACAAAAGAAATGTGGGTTTGGTATGACTGCAGAAATTCACCTGGCACAAAACCCTTGTTATAGAACCATAAAAAGCAAATTGTCATTAGCACCAACATTTATTGAATATTTATATTTGCCAGATTCTGTGCTACAGTTATAGATGTTCTCTCATTGGCAATTCAGACAACATCTTAACTACAAAGGAGGACTCTGACACTTTGGAAAATTAGGTACTTTCCCCCAAATCTAGCACAGTCTTATTCCCATGACCCATTCTTCACCATTACACTCGTCACTATTCCACTGCTGGATGGGGCCAATGAGAGAGACTTTTAAAATACTTGTCATCAAAACCTAATAATAATATCCTAAGGTATAGTCATTTTTTATTTGTCAAGAAATAAATCCATGTACTCTTTTTTAGCCCTATGGAAATATTTACAGCTTTAGGTTAATCCACTTCATTCACTATGAGAGTGGAATTGGTGCTCAAACAACTCAGTTTCCATTCCACAGAACTTTAAAATAAATGTGGTCATGATTTCTTTCCTTCTCTTAATGTTTACTCAACAAAGAATATATACTTCCCTCCCGTAGTGTCCCTCAGAGGTGGTGAAACAATTCAAATGCCTGCACCAGAACTGCCTCACACCTTGCTAAAAATGCAGACTTCTCCACTCCACAGCCATTGGTGTGACCTAAGGGAGGGAGTCTGTGATCTCAGTTGACTCTTATAAAAGCTGCCATCTGAAAACCATTTTTCTGCTGTCATTATCCTCAAAGTAAAAACCACAAAGAGTTAAATGGATTTAAGGATAATTTTTAATTTTCAAACTGTACAAACTGCATTTTAAAATATAGGGATATGGCACTACCATAAATCAAGAAATAAAATTAATTTCTACAACAGTCTCAATCTTGTGTTACTTAGCATTTTAGTTGAGCAGAGTAATAACATGGGAAGAGTATATAATAGCATAGAACAGAATGCTGTGGTTAAGAAATTTTAAGCAAAACCAAAGTACATTAATTACAGAAATTTATAGTCTAGGGGCATAAAAGTCAATATAAAGGTGAGTTAATAATGTCCCCAGAAATTTCATGTGTAAAAAAAAATTAGTACTTTTTAAGTCCTTAAAAAGATATTAATCTTCATGTATCAGAGGACAAACATGTTAATCAAGTAAAAAAAATCCCAGTGCCTGATTTCAAAGACAAACTCTAAAGAATTAGACCAAAAGGTCTTCTATTACTAAAATACCTGCTACCCTGTCACCAAAATATTAACAGAAACCCTAACACATCCAAGTTATCACTGATAAATGGAGCAAATCTATACTCCTGTTGAAGAGTGTATAAATTAAGTCTATAATCATGGGGAAACATCAAAGAAATCCAAATTGAGAGATTTTCTACAAAGTAACTCCCTTGTGCTATTGGAAATGGCAAAGTCAGGACGCCTGGGTGGCTCAGTCCACTAAGTGTCTGCCTTCGGCTCAGGTCATGATCCTGGGGTCCTGGGATCAAGCCCCAGTTTGGGCTCCCTGCTCAGGAAGGAGTCTGCTTCTCCCTCTCCCTCCGCCCCCTTCCCCTTGCTTGTGATCTCTCTCTCTCAAATAACATTTTTTTAATTTCAATAACATTCTACTATTCTCAAATAAATAAATAGCATTTTTTTATGTTATTCATGAGAGACACAGAAAGTGAGACATAGGCAGAGGGAGAAGCAGGCTCCCTGCGGGAGATCATGACCTGAGCTGAAGGCAGACGCTTACCTGACTGAGCCACCCAGGAGCCCCTAAATAAATATAATGCCAAAGCTGTGAAGCATGAAGAAAAATCAAGGAGCCACTCTAGACGGGAAGAGGTGACAAGTAACTGTAACGCCTGAACTGGGACTGCACCCTGCCCGTGAACGTGGATGTGTTTGTTCGGAACACTGCTAAGGAGGTTTGTGTGAGGTCGGCTGTCATCTAGCGCAAGGTACTGTGTCAACGTGAATTTCCTGTTTTGGGTCACGGTACTGTGGCTGCGTAAGAGGATGTTCTTGTTCTTAGGAAATATTTTGTGAAGTAATCACAAGTTAATGTTTTCAACCTACTCTCAAACGGCTCACAAAATATTAATGAAGGGAGAGAGAGGGGGAGAGGGAGAGAGAGAGAGGGAGAGGGAGAGAGGGAACACTACACCAAATGGAGCACAGTGTTAGGTGTGGGGAATTCAAGGGAACACTTTCTAGCATCCTTGCAATTTTCCAGTTAAGTTTATAAAATTATGTCCAAACCAAAAAATGATAAAAATATTTTTTAGAGTTGTCAATCAGAACACTAAAAAAAAATCCAATATTTTTTAGAATATATTTTTAAGCTTCATATCTAGAGGAAGTACTTATGTCTAAGTTTGTTTTGTAAATCTAGACTAAAAATATGAACAAATTGAATTTTCAAATCCATTCAATGACTTCATACTAGAAACTACAAAATTGTGTTGTTCTTTTCTTCTATTGGATGTATATATATTCCAGATCACTATATAGGTTAATGGAAAATACTTCTATGTTCTCCACATTCATCTGAAAAATAATTCAAATGCTGGTTTTTTAGTTATTTTTTCTTATAGTTATTTCCTTCCTTCTTTGTGCCTTAATGATTTATTTTATCCGTTTCATATCTATAATTGATTTTGAGTCTATTTGAAAGTAGTTTTAAACCAGAATGTTATTTATTTAGTGGCACCAATACACTTGTATACACATAAGTAAACAAAAAATCCTGCCACATCAGATTACCAATGCATGACATTTTATAATTTTTTGCAGTGGCATCTCCTAACTAATCTAACCTAACAATTGTGTGAGAGATCTTACTGTGTGCAGGGTGGAGAGAGGTATGACAGAAAAAATAAACCAATTCTCTACAACAGTAATTGGCACACAGATGGCACAAAATAACTGTTTGTGTGGGGCAGGTTACTGTGTGATTCCATATTACTTGCCATGTGTCATCAGAAACCATGAGACAGCGGCATATGAAATAGATGCTTACAAATCCAAAGATGAGAAAATAAAGCTCCTGAGAATCTACAGAGGTCAATTAATAAAAGCTTTCGGTGAAAATGACTTTATGTTTATTTTGGCATACTTCTAAAAATTAAGTTATAACAGGGACATTGTATTAATATCAAAATAAGGCTATAAAAGGAAAAGGAAAAAAAGGCTTGCACGCACTGTACATATTATATATCAATCTTTAAGACTACGAAAAATGAAAAACGGCCAGAATCTTATGGAATGTCACCAAATATAAATGAAAGTTGCTAGTATCACAATTTCTTGATAAATGTTTTTCCAATGCTGCGGGCTACAGGATTGAATGGAAGTTCGGTTTGATTCATGTCCTGGTTTGCTTATTGAAAAAGGAAAGTGGAGAAGACTTGGGGAGAATTCTAAAAAGGTGCAGGCGCAGGAAACAAGTGCAAAGGAATTTCAAATACTTTGTCTCTCAAATCAAACTCTCAATCACTCTGTTTTCTACACACAGGATAGTTTAGAATTAGTTGAGTATCAAAGATACTGAAGATAAACTAAATCTAAAGTTTAGGGGTACTATGCCAACAAAGGTCACTAAATAGTAGTTTGATGCATTTTCGTTTTTATTAATCACAATTCCTACTTCAGGATATTTTACAACTGAAGGAAATAAAGAGTTATTACAGTTGCTTGAAGGGAGTACAGGTTGAATTAACACAAGTTTTGGGAACAGCATTTAAAATATTTTTCATAAGACAGGCATCTAACAGGATCAAGATGTAAATGAACTTCTTATACTATGGTACCAAAGGGAACAACTCTCCCCCCAAATTTCTTCCATATAAAAATTCAAGATAAAAACGGATCAAACACTGTGAGAGCAGAATTAACACTGGCATTTTGAGAATTAGTAACCTCATACAGAGAATACACAGGGCTGGTTAAAACATTCAGCTGCAGAGAAATATTAAAATGTAATAAAGGAAATAGCACCTTTTAAAAATCCTGTTACCTAAAATGGTAGTTTGCAAAAACTATTCTGAACTGCAAATTTTCACATGAAGAAAACTGAGGAGGTACAGTTTTGAAATGTGTAATGTACATGTTGATTGTAAACACAATACAGAATATTTAAAGCCAAAATTCTCCTCCATACCTGTAGTAGGGAAAAAAAAAATCCTTTTCTCTTAAAGTCACACATTTAATACTGTCTCTAAACTGGGTCCGTAAAGCAGCATACCTTACCTAAGTAAAGGGAAAAAATATTTAAAGGGCCTACTTAAGAATTAAAGCAGTATTAAAGTATCTTTGTATGTCTTTCTTTTTTTTTTTTTGTAATGTCTTTCTACTAAGCACATGGATAGGAGCTTTATTATAAGACTTCTTGCTTGAAATTCAGTGGAATTCAGAATAAAATGAGTCTGTCAGGTCATACTCCAAAACTTTTCATTACCTTAGTATCACAAAGGGATTATCATAACATGATTTTTATTAGATGATTCCAGGTGCAGAGAAGCCCTTCTCCGCCAGAGTTCTAACGTTATGATCAGACCCAATGTTATTTGTTTTTACAAGTGAGGCAAAGTATACACTTGCATTCTTTCTAATCCCTTAAAATCCTTAGAGTTGAAAAGGTTGTCCTTGAAGGTTAATCCAAATAAAAATAAATTTGCCTAGCAGTACATGTAATTTTAACAGCCTAGACACATACTCAAAGAATATTTTCCAATTGTGACATCTACTTGAATATTTTTATTATACAGCTACTTTACCTATATCAAAAGTTCTATCAAAGCAAATTATGTCCATGCTCCCAAAAATGGTTATTAATCAAAAATATTGCCTTATAACTTGTAGGAAACAGATCTGGGTTCAGGAAATATCAATATATTCTTAACAAGTCATTATAATTCTGCATTTACTTTTTTCATTTATAAAGATCACATAAATACCACTGGCAAGTTCACAATGTTAAATCATTAAACTAATTTGTAAATATTGATTTAAAAACCTTGGAGCATGTGCTGCAAAAAAAAAAAAAAAAAAGGTAAAAATTTTTAAAAAGCTTTTTTTCCCCCCCTAGATCATGCACCCAATTATTTTAATGATCACCTTCCCAGGAGTTGGTAATAAATACTAGTAAATACTTGCATAGTTCTTTATAGAAAATGGACCTAACACAATGTGAAGACAAATATTGGCAAATACCACATCTCAGGTTATAGTCTAAGAAATCATACAATCTGTAATATTTCATAAAGTTGTTTATTCTTGTTATTAAAACTTGGATTCAAGTAATCCTGGTTATTCTGGAAAAAGCACCTTGTTCAGGGGGATCATTTAATCATCCTTTTCTACAATCACTTCTCCATGAAGCACCTTTCTTCTTTGGCGTAACATATGAAAGTAGAGTTGTGGGAACACTATTTGAAGAGAGAAAACAAAGGATACTGTTGAAAATTATTTATACTTGGAACCTCTTACATGTTAGCAGCTGTTGAGGGTAAGCACACCATCTCCCACCACAGCCCCTCCCTTCCCCAGACATTTATAGAGCTCAGGCCAAGAGTACAAGTGGAGGCCTGCACACCATATGCCTACGCGTTTCACAGGCTTGCCTCCTTTTATTGCGTTTTTTACAAATTGAAGGTTTGTGGTAATCCTGCCTCAAGCAAGTCTACTAGCACCATTCTTCCAAAAGCCATTTGCTCATTTCGTCTCTTGTGTCACATTTTGGGGAATCCCCTGATATTTCAACCTTTTTCATTATTATTGTACTTGTCACAGTGATCTGTGATCAGTGGTAATGAATCACTGAAAGCTCTTATGAGCAGTTAGCAATAAATAAAATATGTTCTAATCAAGGCGTGCACACTGATGCTATTGCACACTTAACACACTACAGTATAATGTAAACCTAACTTTTATATGCAGTGGAAAGTCAAAAAATTCACTTGACTCACTTTATTGCAATATTAGTTTTATTGTAGTGGTCTGGAACTGAACCTGCACTATGTCTGTAATGCCATTAACTGCTGGGGATTCTTTAGCAAAATTAAGTATCTTGATAAATATACTTTCATAATGACCTGGAACACTGCCAGAATGTTCAGCACAAGGAAAACTGCCCCCCTCTCTCCAGCCCGTTGGCTGTCCTGCACTGTGAGGGGTCTCATGAACACATGTAGGTATCTAAGCCCACACAACCCAGCTCTGTCCATACCCTTCACAGACAGCTGCCCCTCAGCTACCCCTTGATCTCAGGGAAGCATACACTGAGGACATGGTTTACTCCTCAGGAGAACAGAAGGGGAAAGGCTTCTGTGAAGTCCCTAGACACACGGTCAGTGCCCTCGGGGTAGTAAAGTCCATGGTCCCAGGTTTCTAGAATGTGGTCTAGAAGGAGGAGGGGAGGCCTGGTGGAGGAGTGATTAGAGGAGGGCCAGAATAGGGTCCTCTAAATCAGGGTACAGAACAGGAGCCCCTCTTGGCTGGGTATACGGCTATTCTGTTAAAAACACACTTACATGTGTGTGTTAAATCAGTTAGATAAATGGTCATCTGCCCTTTTAAATTTGAAGAATTACTTCAAATTTGCTTCTATTATAGTGCTTTACTGTGTAAATGTTAGTGGATGAACAAATTAGCAGCTATAAACAATACAAACATAAAAATGTTTCTGAGAATGATGGACAGGATTAAAACCAATTAACTTAATAACCAAAAAAGCCTCTGAATATCTCGCTTAGGCAACTTTGGTGAACTATTTTTGGAACTTAGTCCAAATGGAATAAAAATTCACAACAGAGTTTATTTCTTTAAATTTAGGTACTACCAGGGACGCCTGGGTGGTTCAATGGTTGAGGGTCTGCCTTCAGCCCAGGACGTGATCCTGGAGTCACGGGATCGAGTCCCACATTGGGCTCCCTGCAGGGAATCTGCTTCTCCTTCTGCCTGTGTCTCTGCCTCTCTCATGAATAAATAATGTTTAAAAAAATCTTTAAGGAAGTTAATAAATTTAGGTATACCCATTTTGATAAATGTAATCATCATACCATACTCAGAAGCCTAACATACTCAGGTAAAACATACTTAAAGCTACAATGAACGGAGAAGCTGCTATTGACACAGGCCAGAGTCTACGTTCCCAGGATACCTGAAAACACACAGCCAAGTTATTGGTTTGATATTTTCAAGCCATGAGCTGTTGGGCCCTGGGTTTCCGTGGAGATGCCTCAGTAGTCGTAAGGAAGAGGGGAATCCAATACCCAAACCTAGAGCTACAATATGAACAGAAGCCAGCCCTGCTCTGCTCCACACCTGGGGCCCCTCACTGGATCCTGGGGAAGCAAAGGGTGCAAACAAGCCCTGTGGGTGACCACCCTGGGCCCTCCTGAACTGCCCCTGGTGGATAATCTGATGAGAGTCAGGCTGAAATGACTGAAGATGAGGGAAATGAAAACAGTGTGACCATCAGGTCAACTTTGATTTTGAAAAAGTTTAAAAGTTGGAGGCTTCAAGGGACTAGCCAAGTTTAATGCTCACTCTCTTTACATAAAATATTTTATGTAAATTTTTTTTTTTTACATTTTACTTAAATATATCATGTCGATGCAGATCTTAGATACTATAAACTTTTCTTATTTTCTTTCTCCCCTCACTGGTACCAGTCTCCAATTTCATTGAGAAGGGTAAATAACAGCCCTGCTTTACCCATATTCCCTGCTAGTGACTATCAAAATTTGACCTAAAAAAATACCACTATTGGCATTTATGTGAGGTGAGTAAAGCTTCATCAATTCACAGCAACTCTTAAGAGGTGATGAGAAATTAATGAAGGGGTTGAGTTTCAAAATATTTTAAGGAAAGCAGTTTCATTATTTTCTAATATGTAGAGCAACACAAACGAGACTAAAAGGTATTCCTAAATAACTATTCAAAGTATATGCTCAAGGGTTAGACAGAAATGACCTGATATTTTCTTGGACAAAATGTTTATCTTTAAATAAATAATGCTGGCAAATGGTTCACTGATGTGTGCCTTTTTAAAAAAAAAGTCAGGGGATCCCTGGGTGGCGCAGCGGTTTAGCGCCTGCCTTTGGCCCAGGGCATGATCCTGGAGACCCGGGATCGAATTCCACGCCGGGCTCCCGGTGCATGGAGCCTGCTTCTCCCTCTGCCTGTGTCTCTGCCTCTCTCTCTCTCTGTGACTATCATAAATAAATAAAAATTAAAAAAAAATTTAAAAAAAGTCATATTCAGCTTCTCTTTAAATGATTCTGAGAAAGCAATCATTTGTGTGTTAATTTACTTACCTATTTCCTTATAATTAGGAAAGAGTCCTTTCTGACTCACTCTTCCATTATTTTTTTTTTAATTTTTTTTTAATTTATTTATGATAGTCACACAGAGAGAGAGAGAGAGAGGCAGAGACATAGGCAGAGGGAGAAGCAGGCTCCATGCACCGGGAGCCAGACGTGGGATTCGATCCTGGGTCTCCAGGATCGCGCCCTGGGCTAAAGTCAGGCGCTAAACCACTGCGCCCCCAGGGATCCCTCACTCTTCCATTATTTAAAATTATGAATACATGTGGGGTTGAACAGAGGTTTTTTTTTTTTAAGATTTTATTTATTTGTTCATGAGAGACACAGAGGGAGAGGCAGAGACACAGGCAGAGGGAGAAGCAGGCTCCACGCAGGGAGCCTGACATGGGACTCGATCCCAGGACTCCAGGACCACGCCCTGGGCTGAAGGCGGCCCTAAACCACTGGGACACCCAGGCTGCCCCTGAACAGAGGTTTTGATGTATTTGTAAGCCATCAGGTCTCCTTGCTTATTAAACTAGAGTGTACCATGATATTTTTACAGACACGTTTGCAGCACACGCTAAATCAGAGTACTAATGTCCACATACTTACATGGTATATATGAGGCCATGGTTATAAGAAGAAAATAGTAGTAGTCAAAGGAGACATTGTATTTATTAGGAAGTCTTATCGAAAACATTCCTGTCTTCTTCACATATGGTAAGGCAGCATATATTGTAAGGAGTTCACCAACAACCCCAACAGGATATAAGATGATAAAAAAATTGTATCTGAAAAAAGAAAGACCCCAGAAAATTACTCTTTTAGAATAACAACTGGAAAAACTAAATTAAAAAATTAAAAAAAAAAAGAATAATGACTGGAGTTGATATCATTCTTTGGCTACTATTGTCTTTAAACTTAAAAACACACATATTTACAGTGTCTCTCACAGAAGGTTTTTTTTCTACGTTATCATTTGCTTATAAATTTAATTATCCTTTTTTATCATAGCAGTTTCCATTTTAGATGGTAAGATATTAATAAAATAAGACAACTTTACAGTACTGAAACAGTGGTATATGTGTTAACAATGTATATGTAGTGTGTATTGTAAAGGATGTAAATGCTGTAAATGCTATATTGTAAAGTACCTATAAGTATTATGAGGTATTGTAAAGGTAACTTCTTTGACACCTGGAATCAAAACTGAGTGGTTTGTTCTTTTTTTCCTTTCAGCATTTATTGATCAAGTGCTGTCCTTTAAAAGACCAGTTATGATCCCAATTTTATATCTAAATCTTAAAATTACCAAAGTGGTTCTTGGAGGCATTTGGAAGCCTCTTTGCAGTTACCAATTAAAAGAAAATTAATTACTATTTCAGAAAACTGAAATACTACTAAATATATATTTATATATTAACATATAAATATACTAAATATATTTAGCGTATTTAATATATAAATAATACTAAATTATCAGTAATGAATATATTGTCTAAAACTGCTCTCATAACAAAATAGGTAAAACAAGTTGTTTCAAAAATTCCCACAATAAAGGAACAGTCAGTTTGCTTAAAACAGAGTGGAGAAAGTTCTATTCAAAATCCAGAATCAGAGCCTGTTCATCTGGGCTGTGGCAAGGTCTCCCACATAGAGTGGACCAGCCATCATTCATGACTACAGTGAGGGGAACACTCTGCAGGCCTCTATAGGCCTCTAGCAGGAAGAGCTTCGAGGACCCAAGGCAACAACACTTCTCTATTAAAGAAAATCATTTTTCTCCAAGGCAGTTACCACAGAAAATAAAGGTGAAAATCTTGGTAGAAAAAGACAGAAATCAAATTAATCTGTATTTGATTTCATCATGTTGTTGGCATTAAGATATCGGTAAAGAAATATTAAGTTTATCATCAGTATAGCAGAAATGTGGAGGCAACTTAAAAGTCATTTTATTATTTATTTTATGTCAAGGATACACACCAGTAAGAGACGGTGGGGGAACAAAAGTAGTTGCCAAAATAAATTCAGGGGTAAAAGAAAAGATGAATGATCCTTTTACTGTCCCTGTCTATCCCCTCCTTGCCGTGGGTATATCATTACTAGTTTTGTGTAGTTTTTTGTATATTATTTAAATCACTCGTTTCTAATCTTAATTTCCTAACTCAATGTAAAGATCATATAACTGAACATTTTTTAATCCCTTCTCAAGTAAAACTTTTAAACTTAGTTACACAGTTTTTCAACTTTGACTCTCCGATGATTTTTCTGGAAGCACTATTCTTCAACAGAAAAAAATATATCTCTCCTAGAATAAACTAGTTTAAAGCCTTGAGCCACTGATTATTCTTAATGTAATAAGAACAAAGTATATAATTCACTTTCTTTTCACTTTAAAAAGATTAATACTGCGAAGAGAAAAAAAAATTCTGCAAGTTTTGATGGCAGCATGAGCAATTTAACTACCTATTCAGAAAAAGATTTCCTCCTTAAAGATTCCTAATTGCTGTCTAAAAATTTTTAAGGGAATGCATTTTTGAAATTAAAACATAAATTAACATAAAACATAACAACATATAAGTGCCTATTCAGTGGACTTTTCTAGGAACATTTCTAACACATAAATGGAATTGAAGTATATTCAAACTGGTCAGAGTAAGCCAGCTATTTATAAATAAGAAGTCATTCTTATTGTAAAGTTTTATTTGAGAATGACAGCTTCAACATTTGAATATAAATACAAATATTATTTTGGGTTTTTTAATAAGCTTGGCAAATATATATAAATGGTCGGGATCTTTTAAGATTTTTGACATGAAATACAATTACTCATGATTATGATGAACTGACATGTGTTATGCTAACATGTGCATTTCAAAGTTGAAAGATCTTACAGTACGTGGTTTAACACTAATGCAATTGACAAACGATTTCTAAACAGCAAATTTAAACATGTTTTGAACTTTTTCAGAAATTCAAGACATGCAAAATGCATTCCAAAAGGCAGACAGACAAAACACTGAAGATCGTTATCTTCTGCAAATAATTTTTTTTATATGGCAAATGAGATTATATCATGAATTAGTATTTTCAAAGGTGCTAGAGATCCAGAAGACTGAGGTCATGCAAGACACGAGATGCACTGAGATGCATTCTAGGATTAGTCCGGCGATACTCCAAACTGCCAACTGTGTGAAAGGCCCAACTACTCAAAGTGAAAAAGTGTTCAGTTACAGTAAGAATAAAATCAACCTAACATATATAAACAGTAGCGCAGTAAAAACAAATCTGACACTGGTTGTATGTTACCTTCAAACAAATTAGGAATGTGTTAATCTAAATATCAGAGTTTTAAAAACTAGAAATATGGATATAGTATTGTTTATAATATCTCAAAACAGGATTTATAATATTAGCAAACTGGAAATGATCTAAATTCTGGCAACAGAGAAGTGGTAAGTCATACTACAGAACATTGGGCAGCATTAGGTTATAGCTAGATCTAAATATTCCTGCTTTGATTAAAAAAAAAAAAGCTCCAAGATATAAACAAAAAGCAAATATAATGTCATTCTGCTTATGTTTTTAGAAACTCATGTTTGTGTGTTCAGTTTTGTTAATACGAAAAAGTCTGGATGGTTAAACTCTAAACTTTTTCCCTCCAAGAAAGGGAGTAGGTGAGGGAGGAGTATAAATAGGAAATTTCCATATTGATTCTATATATTTCTGTACTTTTTTGAGCTTCTTACAGTGAAAACATATTACTTCTGTAGTTTAACAAAACAATTTAAAGAATGAAAATATCCTCAAACCCTTTTACCTTACCTATGTGGAACAGACATGCAGGAGACCGACACAGACGGGATACAGCCCTCTTACCCAAATTGTCTCCTTGCAACTTCCCACTATCTGGCATCTCACATGTCTGTTAGTGGTTTTATTTTTTGGTCTCTTACGTCTTGAGAGGACAGAGCTTTTCTTGTGTTCAAACTTGCATCTCAGGTATGCCGTCATTACACAACACGTATTGTTGTGAATGTGAGTATAACACCGAGAACAAAAGGAACAAATCTATGCTGGCTTATGATCTGTTCTTCAAAGAACAGTCTGGCTTTTATAACTGTAAAATATCAGCTGCTCAAGGACTTCAAACTTAAAAAAAAAATCTTTTGCCTTAAAAATTGTTTCTTCAAGATATATACATTTAGAACCCTTGAAATACATATTTTGTCCACATTCCAAAAAATACAGCTTAAGTGTGACTTTTAAAAATGTCTGTCTCTGCTACTTAAGACACCAAAGAAGCTGACACTGTATACATAAGATACTAAAAACTGTGGATACTAATTATTAAAATAATTTAAGTCATTCAGACAAAATGCCATATTTTGGCACAGAATTTACCTAATATGATTAAAAAATATTGTATATTTTGCTTTCAGAGAAAAATGAGTGACCAATTCAGGTTGGGTAAGGATACTGATCTAACTTGTCTGGCACTGATTTTACTCAAAATCAAAATACATTAATATGATTTCTCTCTGGTCATTAAATTAAGACTTTAGAATTCAAGTTTTAATACTACTAAGAGCAAAAAAAACCCCCAAAAAAACAAAAACCAAAACACCCAGCATCCTGGCATCATGGGGCTAAGACACAAATTTTCCTTCTCTGGTGTTAGCTCAGCACAGAAAACACGCATGCACTAGTCAGAAACTAAACTGCAAGACATCGCCACCTGGCCCATTTAATGAAGTATGGCAAGTGGTCGAGAAGACTGAATGTGTAGAAGGAATAGCGAGTGATCTCTGTCACAGTCCACGCGACCAGAAAAAGCACCACGCTCTCCTCATTCTGGATCTGCAGAATCACAGAGAAATCCACAGTGTCGTTCAACCCTGAACATTTTTCTCCACGAAGAGTATACTTTAATTATTTACTATGTGTCTTTGATTACACTGGAATGTCAGGGGTAGACAGAGGCAAGACAGAAACCTCAACACAGTGACCGTTACGTAATTCATGACATGCACAAATATGTCCTAGACACAGAAATGGTCAAATTTCTAATGGTTTCTCCTTCTCAGCCTTCTCTCCGGCCACTGACATAACCATCCTAGGACATCAGCCCCTCAAAACCAGAGTGGGAACAATCCGATGCCCCAACCTTCTATGGCTTGTCTGGCTGTACCCATCCTACTGGAGCACCAGCTACTGCACCTGCCCATTCGCCTTTTGTCCTATTACCACCATCTGAATTCAGGGCCTCATGGTTTCTCACCCAGACTACTCTAACAGCCTTCTAAATAAATAGTCTCTCCACTCGTTATTCTCTTCATGGATGAAAGTCTTCTCTTAAAAGCAAAACAAACAAAAATGCATTTGGAAGCAGTGGTCCTATGATTTAAAAGCTTCTTTGGCAGTCCTGCTGCCTAACAGGAGAAAAGGATTGTATTCAAGGTTCTCAACGATCAATCTGAGCTCAGAAATCTCTCCAACTTCATCTGTTCAACTTCCCACTACCGCCTCTCTCTCAGTGACACCAACTTTGTATTATTTCCAGAACACGCTCTTCCCCCCAGTTAGAACGCTACTTACTCCCTTATTAGTTACCACCCTATTTCTCACCCTGTAAGATCCAGCTAAAGCATCACGCCCTCTGGAAACGTTTTCCCATGTCCCACCTTTTGCCCTGACCATTTATTTGCTCACTTTCCTTTTTCATGTCCATATTCTAACACTTGCCAATTTGTATTAAAGTCTGCCTGCCTGACTTGTGTATCCACTGGTGCTCTCGACTCTCCTTACACATCTCTTCCTCAGGGAAGCCTTCCTTCCCTCCTAGGCCAGGCTAAGTCCCCAGGTACACTTTGAAACATATTCATTTTTTTTAAGATTTTATTTATTTATTCATGAGAGACACACACAGAGAGAGAGAGGCAGAGACACAGGCAGAGGGAGAAGCAGGCTCCATGCAAGGAGCCCGATGTGGGCCTCGATCCCGGGTTTCCAGAATCACACCCTGGGCTGCAGGCGGCGCTAAACCGCTGCGCCACCAGGGCTGCCTGAAACATATTCATTTCTTATTTCAAAGCTCTAAAACTAAGATAATGAAATGATTATAGTTGACCCCTGAACAACATGAGGGTTAGGAGCACCAACCCCTGCTGCGTAGTCAAAAACCCTGTACATAAGTTTTGACTCCCCAAAAACTTAACAGAAGATAACCTACTGTTGACCAGAGGCCTTATCAATAACATAGAAACAGCTGACACATGTTTACATGTGAACACATATTTACATGTTATATTCTTATAATAAAGCAAGCTAGAGAAAAGAAAATTTAATTAAAAATCAAGAGAAAATACACTTATCGTATTGTACTGTATCAGAAAAAAATCTATAAAAAGAAAAATCTATGAGCGAACACATGCAGTTCAAACACATGGTGTTCACGGTCAACTGTATTTGTGCAACTACTCGCTTACTGTCTCTCCCAATTACAGGATCCACGAGGCAGGAACTGTATTTCTATTATTAACTGTCAGATCCTTAGCATAGTCTCAGGCATAGAACAGTTGTGCAGTTATTGTTTGCTGAATGATTCAACATCTGTCTGACTGCCCCCCCCAACCAGTACCCACCATAGCTGGAAGTGCCCTACCCATTTCAAATAAATCCAGACATAAGCACAGTGTCAAGTGTATAGAAGGCACTGAATAAATGTTGGCTGAATTAATAACGAGGAGCGGAATGGTGCCAGAAAGAAATTGTTGTTTGAGAAAACTGAGTAGTAATACTAAGACAGAGATCCTTTGGAGGATAAAAAAGAGCAGGTGGGTCTTTTTTTCTCCTGGGCACTGGCAACCCATTAGAATCTCTTTGACTTCTTTTCTGCAGCTGACGCTGGCCATCCTGTCTGGTCTTTCTTCTTCCTCAGTCTGCAGACTCTTTGTAGTCCTGGCCCAGCTATTACAGTCACTCACTGTCTGGAACAGTCTTTCTTTGATTCTGTTTATGTCCGACTCCTGCTTGTAAAGCACGTGGCAATCTGAATGAGTCTGGTTCTGCACGTGGCACGCACTCACTGCTAAGTGCATGGCAGTCACTCCTGAGGGGCCAGGTGGGCCGAGGAAGCCCAGTGAAAGACGCTAGTCAGGACAGCTAACGTGCAGAGTGGAAAGAGGGCACAAGGGCAGGGATCTGTCCCCACACAGACAGGGGCCAGAACGTCCAGCAGGCAGGGGAAGGGAGTGAGGTATCATGTCAAGCAGACTAAGGACAAGAAAGGCATCTCAGGAATGGAAAGGAGGCCAGAGATCTGTCCTCAAGTAGACAGGAGATGCTGGAGGCTGTCAGAAGGTCAGAAGGGCCCATCTGGGAAATGTTTCTGTCATGGGTTTAAAAGGCCCAGTGTCTTCACATAGCGAGCATGGTGTTTGTTTGTCTAGAAGGGTTTAAGCCATTAATTAGATTCAGGTCTGTCTCCTGTCATGCCTCAATAAATAATATGCTAATTTCCCCTAAGTTCCTCAGCCCTTCCAACTTTTCATTTAGTCTTTCCCGTTTGCTCAGATCTATGAAACTACATTTGCTTTTTATGCCTGTTGCTACAATACTCCATGGCGAATGAGGAAAAATATACTGTTTATACCGGCGACTTCAATACATAATCAAAGAGAATATACATCCATATAAAATTTTCCACTGTTTGACAGAATATGAATATTAATTTTTAAAACTGGGAAACATCAGAGGAGAATAGAATATGGATATGAATATTTAGTTTTGCTTGTGTTTCAAACTCATTCTACTAATGTGCTAAGTCAATGTACAGTCACACTTAAATCCAAACTCAGCCCTTTTTTGTCTAGTGTTTCTGCTTCCTGAATTATAGCAACATTGGTATTTTAGATTCCTACTAATAAAAAAGCTTTCCTGCAGGCTCACAGAGAGAAAGTGTTAGTGTCACTTACTGGTTTTATACTGTGAGTAATGAGCCACACCATAAAGATTCTTGAGCTCACTTGGACCCCAGCCACAATCACAGAAGTAGGTACAATCCCTTAAAGAGAAAAACAAGTCAACCATTGCCCTAAAGGCAATTTATACCGACTATAAAAATTAAATCAGAAACTCACCAATTAAACAGTGGACTATCTGTAAGCAAATAAAAAAAATCACAAGTCAATAGCATGCAACATAAAATAAACTTGTGAATGCTGGTTTTCTACAAATTTGAAGGTGATATATGTTATCAGAAAAATAAGATTGATTTTGCTCAACAAATAATTTTTCAAATAAATAGTACAATGGAAAAACAGCATTACTGAAAACTTACCTCAAGCAAGGCAAATGTCTGGAAAAATTTAAGTGTCTTCTGAATACTTTTATATAAACCTTTGTGTGTTCCTTTTTCCATATAAAAACGTACCATGGCAATAGCTAGAACCAACCACCTAGAAAAAATAAAAGTGTTTTGTAAAGTTCTATAAAAATGAATACCAGTGATCTTCCTGAAAGGAAATGGCATAATTTATAGTAATAATATGTATGTTTTATTACATTCGCAGTTCATTATTCTTTTTAACAAAACCCACTGGAAAAAATGACATGGTTTTTACACTGACCCTTCTTCAAGGGGATGAATAGAACATATTGGAGATCAACTGGATTCAAATGTCAATGTCCATTTCATGTTTGATTTCAGCAGGTGAACTGACAGACTGAAGAAATTATATACCCAATTGAGGTCATTATAAAGTGTTTCATAATTATGTATTTCTTATGGTAAAAAGCTGTGTGTGTGTGTGTGTGTGTGTGTGTGTACATACACAAATATATAGTATAGGGCACCTGGGTGGCTCAGTGGTTGAGCATCTGCCTTCGGCTCAGGTTGTGATCCCAAGGTCCTGGGATCAAGTCCCGCACTGGGCTCCCAACAGGGAGCCTGCTTCTCCCTCTGCCTATGTCTTGCCTCTCTCTCTGGGTCTTTCATGAATAAAAAAAGAAAATATTTTTAAAAATCTAAATATATAGTATATATTTACAAGTAAGTATAAATAAAGATCTTTCATATTTTTTTATTTTTTTAATTTTTTTACAATTTGCACAAAATAATAACAATTGTTATTACCACAATTGTATCACCACAGAAGGTGTACATATAGAAGGTCTGATCTGGGCCTGCTTTCAAAGAGTTTGTTTTACAAAAGGACAAAATACAAAATACATATGCCTTCCCTTTTCAACTTCTATTTCTACATGACAGAGGTTCTGTGCTGTGAATTACCGGCACTTCATACACAAGCTATACCTGTGGAGACCGAGTTTCTCACCTTATATTCAATCCGCTAAAGACAAATTGAATTTGTAACAATTTTAAGAGCACTTTCAAGTTTTAAAAAGTTGCGCCATCTGTAACTTTTTAAAATCTTTAGTAACACAACCACGGAAATGAGTACCTAACCCAGGCTTTTAATTTGGTGGTCTCCAAAGTGTCTACTTACATGGGTTTATAAAATACATTATTATACGGTTTTAACTTTTTTTTAAAGATTTTATTTATTAATGAGAGACACACACAGAGAGAGAGAGAGGCGGAGACACAGGCAGAGGGAGAAGCGGGCTCCGTGCGGGGAGCCCGACGTGGGACTCGATCCCGGGTCTCCAGGACCAGGCCCTGGGCTGAAGGCGGCACTAAACTGCTGAGCCACCTGGGCTGCCACGGTTTTAACTTTTTAATTAAAGGACACTCATAAAATGGACAAATGGCTTAAGATTCCCCACAAAGGAACTAGTGATTGAATATGATGAATGTGATCAACAAGGTCAACAGAAAAAGATGGCAGCGGGCACTTCTGCTCTGGGCACTTCCACTCCTCCTCAGCACACACTGAGGGGAAAGCAGGGGTGTTCCTATGAGGTGTGACAAGAAGTCAGGTAAAATCTGAAATTATCAAGACCTCTGAAAGATGGAAAAGTTAGTGATAACAACAATGCTGATACTAACATATTTTCAGAATGCTTTCAATGTTCTACACAAGGTTCTAAATGCACATTTAACATATTAATATTTCACACTCACAAAAGCCCTGTGAGGTAGAGATTGCTATTATCCTATTTTACTGTAGAGGAAACAGGCAGAAAAGGTCACATGGCTGGGATATAAACCTACCAGTGAGGTCTTGCTTAGAATCTATACTCTTGTACCATGATGCTATACTGGTCTGGCTCTAGGTATATACATGCCTTGGGATATTAGTTAATCATAGTATTTGATATATTTGAATTACAAGTAAATTTTAAAAGTTATAAAGAGGGGGGCATGCATGGCTCAGTCAGTTAAGCATTTGCCTTTGGCTCAGGTTGTGATCTCAGGCTCCTGGGATCAAGCCCCTAGTAGGGCTCTGTGCTCAGCAGGGAATCTACTTCTCCTTCTCCCCCCAGCTCATGCCCATGCATGCTCTCTCAAATAAAATAAATAAAATCTTTAAAATAAATAAGTAAATAAGTAAAAGTTATAAAAATTGTGCTCAAATATTTTAACTGATAGTAGTATGCTATCAAAAAGGTTTGAGGGCCACTGTTGTAGATGAGACAGTCACCATGCAGAGATGTCAAGTGACTTACCCTAAGTCTTAAAGTCAATGGGGCTGGGGAAAAATAGACCCTCTGAGGTCTCTTAACCCCCATGCTATTCTCTCTCCATGATACCCTGGCTTTACTGGATTCAACTGATGGCTTCATCCCATATGAGGGCCACGGGTGAATTCTGTGCTGGGCCAATCTGATTTAGATGCCTCCCAGGTTTAAAGTGTTATGATTTCACCATCTTCAATTCTAAGTCCCTATACTAACAATAAGAAAAAGTGTATTAAGCTGTTTAAATTCACATTTTTCATACATTTGTCTCTTTTTTTAAAAAAGGAAAACACCAAAAAGATCATTTTGAGAGGTAATTATTAACCTACCAAAGAGTTCATTAAAGGATTCATTTAGACAGCAAGTTTTCTTTTGAAATAGCAAGATATAAAAATCCATGTGTTATAACATGGTCACAAATTTTACTGCTGTTCCATAGGTGGCAGTATTGTACCACCTAGTATACTATTTTAACACCAATAACAAACTTCTTCAAAATAAAAGAAATTAACACTCTGGGTGAGGTTAGAAAGGACGACGGAGACATCTATCCTAACTTCTCATCTATTTTCAGTCAATATGGCCAGGAGCTAATCTGAACTAATCAGTGGTCACTAAGCCCACTGTCACAACAGGATGACAGTCAAAGTCTCCCACAAGGACCCTCCATTTAACTAACTTCAGACTTCCTACATTCATCAGTTTAGCAATTGTAATTTTAAGAAAATGCAAAAGCGATGAGAGCTTCTGCAATTGGGAATTCTTTTTTTAGAAATCCTGTTTTTAAAAAATAGGCCAGAGCGACTGATAATCCAAATATGAACCGAGATAGCTATGCTCAGTCCTTGAGAAAGTACTGTGTTCAGAAAATATATAAACGTGTGCTTTATACGTAAAAGACTGCTTGCTTGCTTAATTCATTCATCTTCAGGTTCAACATTTATTGCTAAGCCAGAAAGTGTGCTACATGTTGGGAAATGAGAAATAAATAAAACCTAGTCCTTGCCTCAAAGAACTATTAAATTAGTAAGTGGATAAAACTAAATAGTGCTACAACAGGATGTATGTGCCACAATTCACTAAACACCAGGCCTTCCTTGCCATGTCACTACGCTATGATGACCCTGAAAAATCTTATCAGAGGAGTTCTTTCTTCTAGCTGTCTCTGGTGCTTCTTTCACTCCTGAAGTTTCTTGGAGACAACCTGCTCCATAAGAAACTTGGTTACACCAAGTTCTACACCTGTATCTTTTTTATTCCAGCACTTCTTTTTAGATTTTAATTATGAACAACTTCGCACATACACAACGATACAGAGAATGGTATGAGGAACCCCCAAATACCCACTCCCCCGATTCAAGCATTATCATCTTAAAGGACAATCCTGTGTCATCCAAGCCTCTATTCACTTCTCTCCTCACCATCCCTTCCCCTCATTGTTTTGAAGGAAACCTCATACATTTTGTAGTTTAATTCATAATAAAAAGCTTTTGATAAACATTACCATAATACCAACCTCCCATGTAAAAAGTCAGTAACAGATCACAAAACAGAGTCAGGTTATGAATTTTCTCAATTGTTTCATAATTTTTAAAAATCATGATTGAAATAAAGTTCACATGTTGTAAGTAGTTGCTATGCCTTTCCACGACTCTTTTAATCTATAGGTTTCCCCTCCCTCCCTCCCTCTATCCATTCATCTCATCTCTACTTCTCTCTTTCTTGTGAAATTCGTCTGTCCAGGACACTGAGTGGTTTGTCCTGCAAAGTTACCCTCAGTCTGGGTTTTGCTAATTAGATATCCAGGGTCATTTATTATGTTCTTCTGTTCCCTCTATTTCGTGTTGACAGTTCCTGGCTTGTCAGACAGAGTCACATTTGAGGCTAATTCCTAAGTTGTGTTGTGTACTTCCCTAAAGAGCACGTACCTTCTGGCTGTCCCTCTCGTTTGTCTGTGATGCTAGCACTCACTGCCGATCATTGTTCAGATCCATTATTTCAGCAGTTGCTGAAAAATGGTGATATTCTAATGTCATTTCTTCCTGTACCTTCAATAAAATCACCATTTGGAAGCTCCTACCGGAGATGGTCTTTGACATTCATAGCATCCATACTTTCTTGTTTTGTTTTTTTTTTAAGATTTTATTTATTTATTTATTCAGAGAGAGAGAGAGAGAGAGAGACAGAGAGAGAGAGAGAGGCAGAGACACAAGCAGAGAGAGAAGCAGGCTCCATATACCGAGCCCGATGAGGGACTCGATCCCGGGTCTCCAGAATCACACCCTGGGCTGCAGGCGGCACCAAACCGCTGCGCCACCGGGGCTGCCCACATCCATACTTTCATGTATTGTTCACTGACACCTGTAAACCTCCTTTCCTAGACTAAATTAAAATTTTTATTTAGCAGCCAATATATGTTTCAAGGTAAAGCACATAGACATTCGAGACAATGGAGTTAAACTGAAAGGTTCAAAAAAAAAAAAAAAGGATAAACTGAATTCCATTTAGAATAAAACCTCCTGCTCTTTGAAGAGAATAAAAAGCAAGCCACAACTAAGAGAAAATATTTACAAATTACATATCTGATTAAAGACCTATATCCATACCACGTAAAAAACTCTCAGAACTCAGTAATAGAAAATCAAACAGCTGCATTCTTTAAAAAAAAAAAAAAGGGCAAAGAAGATTTGAAAAGACACTATGCCAGAAAAGACACACAATTGGTAAGTAAATGCATAAACAGATGTTCAGCGTCATCAGTCATCAGGGAAATGCAAAATAAAATCACAATAGAGATAACACAATACACCTCTTAGATGTCTAAAATTACAATGACTGATCAATATCAAGTGTGGGTAGGATGTATAGCAGCTCTCATTCGTTGCCCACAGGGCTGTAAAATGGTATAGTCATTCTGGCAAAGCTGGGCAGTTTCTTAAGAAATCAAGAATGTGACTACCGTTGACCCAGCCATTCCACTCAAAGATATTCACCCAAGAAAAATGAAAGCATATGTCCAAAGACTTGGACGTGAACGCTCACAGCTTTGTCACAGCCAAAAACTGGGAAGAACCGAAACGTCTATCAACAGATGAATGGATAAACAAGTTGGATAAACAAGGTCCATAAAACAGAACTACCCTCCTCAGGGATTAAACATGTCTATTTAACATTTTGGGAAAAGTATATGTCTGAACCCTGGGTTTGGTGCTCTAACAACCCACACTATGTATACTCTGAAAACATCTTAAATAGTTTCTCTTTGTCTATCAACCACCTTACTGATCACTTCATATCCATTATTCATTATCCATTATTCTTTGTAATAATCTAGCAAAGTAGTGTTTTAATCTACAGATAAGAAAACTCAAGGTCAGAGAGGTTAAGTAACCTTTCTGAGGTTACTAGTCCTCTGAGCTAAAAAGGAGTAAAATACTGCCTTTAACCAACACCTCATTGTGGTATTTACAGACTAAAACCCAAACATGTTGGCCAGGCGTTTAAGGCCCTGTGCAATGGTCCAGGCTTCCCATTCAGCTTCACCCCCCCACACACACTTCAGGCCCAATTGCGATCACCTCAGCAACATGTCTAGGAATGTCACATCTCTGTACCTTAAGTCACGCTGTTTCCTCATTCATGCCTATCAAATCCTACTCATCCTTCAAAGCTCAGTTGAAACGCTATGATCTTCACCACAAAGCTCTCTGATTCCCTCTACCTGTCTGACCTGTCACCTCTGTCACCTCTGTCGAGCAGTTATCTCATTCTTTCACTGCAATATACAAATGCCCCTGGGTTACACTTCTTCAAGGACAGAGCCTAAAATATTTATCTTATGTCTCTCATTTGACCAAGGATGATGCACTTGACACATACGGGCTCAAAAGTCTTTGAAAAAAAAAATGAGAGAGAGAAAGAGAGAAATACTTCTCTGGTCAAGTACCTGTTATGAACAAGTACCATAAAAATCCTCACATCCTTTAAAGGTGTAATTCCACTCCTGGGAATTTATCCTAAGCAACTAATTGAAAAGAAACAAGTAAAAGCAAATGTCATTAAGGGAATGATCTAATCTGTTATTGTGCATTAACTCTATGCACTCTTCTATAGCCATGAAATAATACATTTATGAAAACTATGCAGAAATATTTGGTAGAATATTAGGTGAGAATAGAATATGTAATAGGGCAGACACCCTAACTACAATGCTTTATAAGTACATTTAGGAGGTGACACTCTTAATGGGGGACATGAGGACAATAAACAAGACAAATTACTATGTTTATGACAATAAGCACAATGAGAAAAACAAAGCAGGCAGGAGGAATGATAGCATAATGGGGTATATGCTTTCTGCATGAAGAGAGCTAGGAAGGCCTCCCTAAAAATGGAGATTTGAGTGAAAGCCTGAAGGAAGTTAGATACTCACATTAAAGATAACAAAAAACAAAAGGTCATGCTAAGCTTATAGAATTAGGCAAGTTCTTTTTCTACATTTATGTAAAGACTTCTCAACTATTATTGTTTTCAAAACTATTATAAAAATTTAACATACTTCAGAGTTCTGCTAAAAGAGAAAAACAAAATAAGCAAAGTAAATGAACAAAAAGCACCTCAGCTAACCTTCTGCTATCCATACTATTCAATGTATACCTCGGTGTCCCACTTTACACACCACAACCTTCTTTACCACCGTTCTCCAACATCACCCTCCAAATAGGTCAAGAGAATATACCAAGCTTTCTTGCATCTCATGCCTATTTCTAGAATTTATCTCACTTGAAATATCTACCCTCCACATATGCCAATCCTATTCCTTCTTCAAATCTCAAGGACTCTAGAAAGCCTCCAAAAGGTTACATGGATTATTCCATTTTTGGTTACCTTGCTTTTATACAGAGATGAAAATGAAAAGTGACCTTCCCAAAATAGGCAGGGAGACAGATAAGTTTCAGACACGCAGTCATTTGCTGGGCAGGTAGGAAAGATAGGAAGTGTGAGAACACAAAGGAGGGAGCATTTAATTCTGTTCCAGATAGGGTGGGAGACCTAGAAACCGTCAGAGGATGGCTTGATTTAGATATCACACGAGGAACAAGGAGGATATTATATGAAGAGTGAACAGCCTGAGCAAGGACAGAGAGAGTGGTGAAAATAAAAATGTGTGGTGCTTTGCCCACATTATGAGTTACAGCTGATTTCAAATGCGGTAAAACTGGAATGGGAAATAGGGGAGCAAACTGCAAAGGCCCCTGAATGACATATAGCCTAATCCCTTGGATTACAGCAGAGGTAATGGGGAGTCACTGAAGGCTTTTAACTAGAGTTATGCACTGATTTTCACTTTTAAAAGGTTAACCTGGTTTTCAGAAGGGAGAGTGCACTGGATAGAAAGGGACAGCAGACCAGTTAAAGGCAGGTATCCCAAAAATATTAACCGCGTAAGACTATCACGGGTGAGAAAATTCTATCAGCTCCCACTGTCCCTAAAGACAGTAGCGCATGGTGGGTACTCAACTATTCCCCAGTTTTTCTCAGTATATTATTTTTCTCTTTCAAGATCATAAAATTCAGTAAAGCATAAAGGCAAAGAAGTAGCAGGTCTCTGGAGTCAGACTGTCTAGGCTGAAATCCAAGTCTGACACCTGCTGGCTGCATGATCTTGAGCAACATACTTAACCACTTTGTGCCTCAGTTTCCTGACCTGTCAAATGTAGTATCATGTATCCCGTCGCGGGATGGTAGAGAACTAAAACTGAGATAGTACAATTAATGAACCCAGTACCTGGGGCACATGGTAAATCCTCGCATTGTTCGTGAACCGTATTTGGTATTCAGGGTTACACCGAACGCCTAATAGGGACTCAGTACTGGGTCAAAGTATTTATTTACTCTTTCTCTATAAGCCCCGGGGAGAGTGTAAGATACCAGACATTCCCCGACACTTCTGTGTATTAATACTCCATGTGACCATGAGACAGTAAGTTCTTAAAAAGACCATGCGTTTTAGAAACAGCAGAGCGTTTCCCCCACAGGTCCCGCAAAGCGATCGACACAGAAGTGTCCCTTCGACAGGTCTCTGAAGAGCGCTAGTCGTGGCGTAACCTTAACTCCTAAGTCCTACTCAAAGTCAGAAGTAAGAGTTCAGGGGCTCAGGAAGCACGGGCCCCCAGAGAGAGATGCTGGGCTCGAGGGCCACGCTCCGACGCGGCAGGGTTTCGAGAATACTGTCCCCAGGAAGAAGTTCTGGGGCTCAGGGGACAATCGAACAAACACCCAACCCAAAGCCGCTCGTGCTGGCACCGGCGGTTCAGAGCGCTCCGCGCAGCGCGGGGCGGCGCAAGGCAGCGGGCACCGGCCGGACAGCTCCGGGCGCGGGGCCGCCGGACACAGGCGATTCTTCAACAGCAGCAGCAGGCGGCGGCGCCCGGGGCGGCCGGGCCGAAGCCGCCTCCCCCGCCGGTCGGCCCCGCATTCCTGCCCGGGTCTATACTTAACCTCCGGCCCGCGCCCCGGGCCGCCGCGCCACGCCGTGCACCGTATTAGGCAATGCCGGGCGAGCAGGGCCCGGGCCCCCCCGCCCCCCCTCCACTCCCCCGCCCCGCTCCGCTCCATTCAACGCCGCCGGCCGCCGCGGCGCCCAAGCCCCTCCCCCGCGCCGCCGGCCGCGCCCCCTCCCCGCTCCGCGCCCCCCCGGACCCCCCCGCGCCCCCGCCGCGCCCCCTCTGCGCCGCGCGCCCCCGCCGCGCCCCCCCCCGGTCCCCCTCCGCGCCGCCGTGAGCACCCGCAGCCCAGCCGGCGCCCCGAGCGCGGAGTGTCGGGGGGCAGCCGCGCGGGGCCGCGGACGCAGGCAGGCCAGGGCCCCCGGCGGCGCACGTACCCCGCGGTCATGGCGATGTTGTAGAAGGTGAGCCAGACGGTGGCCAACAAGCCGAGGCGCCTCCGCCTGCCGGGGGCCTCCTTCTCCTCGCCGGCCTCCGAGGCGCCGCCGTTGGTGCCGTCCTCCTCGCTGGACGCCATGGTGGCCGTGCACCCGGGGGAGGTGGAAGCCGGGGGAAGGGGAGCGGGAGGGGGCCCCGCCGCGCGCGCAGCCGAAGCGCCGCCGCCGCCGCCGCCGCCGCCTCGGTCAGGCGCCCCATGTGCCGCGCGCAGGGGGCTCGGCGCCGCCAGCCCGGCCGCCCCAGGGGGAGGAGCGGGCGCCCCCGGCCGCCGCCCCGGCCGCCGCGCCCCGCCCCGCCCCGCCCCGCCCCCGGCCCTCGGGAGCGCGCGCGGCGCGGGGATCTGGCCGCCCGGCCGGGGCGCCGGGGCTCGGGGCTGCCGCGGGGCCCCGCAGAAAGCCGTCCGCGTCTCCGGCCGGGGCGTCCCGCGCGCTGGCGACCTGTGCCCCGCTGCGGCGTGTGTTCGGGGCGGACGGCGCACACCTGCAGCCGGCGAGGCCCTGCCCCGCCCAGCCCCTGGGAAGGCACAGGTGGGCAGGGGGACGGGCGGGGCGGCCTTCCCGCCGAGCACGCCTCAACACCTTCCGGGGAGGAGTCGCCCACTTGCGCCTGTTTCACGTTTGCCGGCCGGTGGGGCGTGTACGGGGGGAACACGTAGAATCGCCTCCCTCGGGTGGGTTCCCCGGGGCCGGGGTCCTAACGCCGTGGCGGCGCCGTGGCGGAGGTTAGAGGGGAGCTGGAGCGGGAGGGCCTGGCGAGAGACCCAAGGGGACGCGCTGGGGCCCATGCGGGCAAGCTGCAGCTGCGCCGCCACCACCGCTGCTCTCCACTCCATCCCTTTCCTTTCCGTATCTTCCCTCAAACACCCGTGCGCTCTCCCAGTAGCTCTCTACTCTTTCCCCTTAAAGCGCACAGTTGGGAAAGCCGGCTCTGGAGTCGGGTTACTGAAATTCAAACCCCAGATTCCTGGCTCCCCCAGTCTTACAAGCTTGTGAACTTGGGCACCTAAACTTCTCTGTGCCTCAGTTTCCTTAGTGGGAATGATTTATAAGCCTGTGTCGTGGGTTATTGTGAGATGCAAGTCTCACACTTAGGAATCACCCACGTAAATCACTTACAGGTCTGAAGCAGTTTTGCCCCCCCTCCCCTCCCCCCAAATTAGCATGTTAGCACCGTTCTGGTGACTCGGATCTCCCTTGATCCAGCAAGAGAAATTTCTGCTCAGGCCTGTGGAAGCGATCTGCTTGTTGTTAGCTGTGCTGCTGGAACCTGAGCTTGGCCCTGGGCAGGGGACCACATAGCTACGAGTCCAGTAGCTCCTCCGGGTATGGAGTCATTTCTACGCAGAAGAGAACTTGGGAGAGGTCACCATAAGGGAGAAAGAAGGACTCATTCCTTTGTAGAGATCTGGGCTCTGGGCGCCTGCCCAGGGGGGCACTACCAGCCTGCTTGGGAAATGATAATTTTGAGGAAGACATTCCAATAAGGGAGGAGGAGGCTGAGACGTTCCTGGGGAAGAAATAATGGCTGAAAATGTTCACATTTGATGAAAACAATGTGACTGTTTTTTAAAGACATTTAAATTGGAAAGGAAAAAATAAAACTATTTACAAATGACAACACTGTATAATTAGAAAAGCCCTAAGGAATCCACAGAAAAGCCACTGGAACTAGTTGCAGGTTACAAGGTTAATGTAACAAAAATTGTTTTCTACTTACTAGAAAAGAAAACTGGAAATTGAAATTAAAAATAAAACCATATAATGCTCATCAGCAAACAAAAAGATGAAATATTTAAGGGTAAGTTTAACAAAACCCGTAAGATCTGTATACTGAAAGCTATAAATCACTGCCGAGAGAAATTAAAGGCTTAACTAAATGGCTATTCATTGGAAACCATTGCAATTGGAAGATGAATTGGAAGATGTTATGGTTAAAATGTCAGTTCTCCCCCAAATGCCAGCAGAATATATTTTGTTTTAATTTGACAAGTTATCTCTAAAATTTATACATAAGAAAAACAAAGTTGAGGCACATACCCACTGGTTTTCAGAACAGTATTAACCACAGTTTTATGTAAGACTGTGGTAAGCATAAGGATAGACAAATCAGTGAAACAGAATAGAGTCAGGCCCATAGATATGGTCAACTGATTTTCCGCAAAGATGCCAAGGTATGTCTTTTCGACAAACTGTGCTGAAATAACTGGATATCCACGTGAAAAGAAAAAAAAAAAAAAAAAAAAAAAAAAAAAAAACCTTGACCCTTACCTCATACCATACACCAAGTATTAATTTGATATAGATCATTGACCTAAACATAAAAGCTGAAACTATAAAGCTTATAGAAGAAAATAGAATCATTATGGTCTTGGAGAAGGCAAAGATTTCTTAGATCCGATAACAGAAAAAGCATTAATCATAAAGGAAAAGACAAAACTGTCAAAACATAAACTTTTGTAATTCCAAGGACAACACTTAATAGTTGAAGATTTTCTCAATACATGTGTCTGATAAGGAACTTGTATCCAGGGTATGTAGAATCTTCACAATGCAATAACACAACTTTTTAAAAATGAGCAAAAATTTGAATAGATTCTTTGCAAAGAAGACATGTAAATAACAACAGCACACGCAAAGACACCCAACCTTACATTTTTAGAGAAATGTAAATCAAACCCACAATGAGATATCACTATACCTAATATTTTAAATGTTGGCAAGGATGTCGAGCAATTGGAATTCTCATATATGGCTAAAGAGAATAACACTTTGGAAAACAATTTGGTCATTTCTTTAAAAGATGGTCATAACGCTGGCTTACCATATGACCCAACAATTGCATTGCTAGTTATTTAGCCAAGAGAACAAAAACAGGTCCACACAGATTAGGACACAAATGTCCATAGCAGCTTTATTCATAGTAACCTCTTACTGTGAAAATAATTCAGAGGTCCATCAACATGTGGAGTAAAATAAATTTGAAAACTGGATCACAAAGTGCTATGGGATTTAAAGAGCTGTCAGGAAATGTAATTTGGGAGATTAGAAAAGGCTTTGTGCGAGAAATTGCCATTGAATATTTTATTCCAACAGACAGATTGCAAGAGGCAGGCTGAGTGCTCACCAGGAACAATGAAGAGGCCACGCCAACAAGCTTGAGGAAAAGTGAATTGTGTGGTTTGACTAAAATTTAAAATGATCAGGAGAAGGACTGAATAGAAGTGTCAAGAACCACTCTATTTTAAAAGGTAGAATTGAACTTCTACTAAAGACTTGTGTGGAGGAGAATCATGTTAAAGAAACCTCTTTTCGAAGAAAATTAGGCGGCAGGAAATGAGATCAGTCGTCCTCTAGAAGAGAATAAGAAAGGCCAGAATTGGATTGGTGATCAGAATGAACAAGGGAATGAATGGATGAGATCTCTTGAGACAGAACAGAATCAAAGAAAGGGTTTTGTTTATTTGCTGAAGTGAAGGTGCCATTGAATAGGGAGAGACTGTCTATGTGAAATAGGCTATTTATGGAGCGAAATCCCTCTGACTGTGGGAAGATAAGAGAGTAAGAGGATAGATGGAGGAATTAGTTTTCAAAAAGAGAAAAGACATTTCTTTCTCAGTAGGAATGAAGGAAATGGGGGTAGAACTATTTCGAGGTAAGGAACAGAAAGTTGAGGTAGGGAAATTAATTGAAAGGAAGGCATCCTGGCAGCAAAGAAAGTTTGGAATGTCATTTTACGTATAACCTTGTTTGATTTCTCGGAACATCTTTTAATTTATCAATCCATGGAGTGGTCCTTTGGGATAAAAACTAATTACTTAGCTTGACTTCAGAATTCTCTACTATAACCTGAGCCCAATGGAGCTGATTGAACATTATCTCTTAGTAGGTACCTGTCACCAAAACACTGTGATCTGACCAAGTGGGTCTCTTCATTGTCCATCAACTGATGTGGATAACCTTTTTTTTTTTTTTTGATGTAGATAACCTTTAATCTAAACCCTGCATTCTTTTCATCCTACCAAACTGCTATTTTCCCTTCTTTCTTGTTTGTATAAATCTCATTCACTCTCCAAAGCTGCATTTAATACCAGTTCTTTCAAGTGGCTTTCCCTGACCACTTCAACTTATATTGGACCCTTATTCTTCCCCAGATAAAGTAGTGTGTACTAATAATGTGTCATTCATTTCAGCAGTTAATTATATATTTTCTCCTGTTTTTACTTATGCTTATATATGTATTGTCTGGGGGAAGAACTGAATCAAAGATTAAGAACTATATTTTAGAAAATCCTTCTCAAAGGCCAATTAATGTTTTGCAATTCTTAGAAGCTTTATTGAGGTATAACTGACACACAATATAGTACATGTATTTAAAGTGTACAGTTTAACAGTCTTTGACATATGTATTGTCTGTGAACCATCAAGATGGAGAACATATCCATCATCTCAAAAGGTTTCCCTGTGCTCTTTTTTCAATGCCCTCCTTCCTCACCCCACATTGTCCCCAGGAAACCATTACTACAGTTTAGTTTGCATTTTCACTAATTTTCTATAAATCAAACCATACATTATATACTTTTTTTCTGTCTGGCTTATTTCACTCAGGATAATTATTTTGAGCAGGCCCAGCTTCATGGGCATGTGGCCCTTGCAGTCCCATGGGATCCTGTGCTCAAAAGGGCCTGGCACTTGATTTAATGCTGTTTTGATGCTCTTCTTTCTGTTTTGAAAATTTTTTTAAAGATTTATTTATTCATGAGAGATACACAGAGAGATATGCAGAGACATAGGCAGAGTGAAGCAGGCTCATTGCAGGGAACCTGATGTGGGACTCGATCCCGGATCCTGAGATCATGCCCTGACCCAAAGGCAGACGCTCAACCGCTGAGCCACTCAGGCGTCCCCTGTTTTGAAATTTTTAATAATTTATGAATAAGGGGGCCAAAATTTACACTTTGCACTGTATCCCACAGATTATGTAGCTGGGCCTGAATTTGAGATTCGGGTGGTAGGTATCAGTAATTCATACTCTTTTATTGCTGGACAGTATTCCATATGGCTTATACCACAATTTGTTTATCCATTTACCACATAATTTGTCTATCCATTCATACTTAGACATTTGGGTTTTTTTCCAGTTACAAATAAAGACCTATGAACAAAACTTTTATGGAGATATGCTTTCATTTCTTATGTAAA